CCAAAAACTACTTACTTTACCATATTATTATTACCCTACATTGAAGATAATGTGCGGATGAGTTTGGTGTGGCTCATTAAAACTAGCTTGATGATGCCGGCATTAATTGGTGTGGACCGCGCCTCACCGACCAGAAAGCACAGTATCGCGTAACTGTACATGTCTCCGTCAGTTCGGCTGTGTTGCTACATGCTCTTACCCAGCTGGAATTCAAGAGTCGAACACTTTGCCGAAGGAGGAATGAAATGCAGATGGTTTGATTTGATACGAGAGGTCTTACAATGTAACCAAACAGCACTAATGATCTGGTACGCAATTGAAGCTAAATTAAAGAGGCGCATATAAGTCTCAGCCTCTCGCTGTTGTTTTCTTCCTTCTCTGAAAGCTGCTGGAGGGCTGTCATAACCAGCGGTTGGTGTTCATGCCAGAGAAAATGATGTGGGTGTGAGCGTGTATAGAAACAAGTGTGTGTGTGGAGAGAGTGCAATTCAGGTTTCAGCACCGTCATCGTCAATAACGTCAGCACTTCACTCAAGTTCCAACAAGACCTGTGTCTGTGCCTTGGTCTCTGTTTTGTTTGTCTTTAAAAAGGCAACTTCAATTGGTAAAATCTTTCTTCTTTAACTCAGTAGAGTTTGTTAATTGGTTGTCAGACTTGTAGCTTGCTCCCTCTTAAACATTTTTCTTGCCGAATGTATGCGAATACGGCTTATTCTTCATGTAAATTCTATTTTACTTCACATAAGGGTGAATCTTCTTTCATCTTAGAGGTTTTGGATTCCAACTAAGCCTCCAAATATTATTGTTTCCTGTTATAGACTTTTAATCTTTTAAAATGTTTTCTCTGTCCTTCAAGGTGGGTGCTCGGCCCGTGTGGTGACGGTGCCTCCTGGTCCATTAATCCGGGTGGAGGGCCAGCCAGTCTCCATCAGATGTGATGTCAAAGAATACACAGGACCTAGTGAGCAGGTCATTTCCCCAACACACACACACACACTCCCCAACACACACACACACACACACACACACACACACACACACACACACACACACACTTGAATTGAAAGAGTTGATCCTCTGGAGAGTATGAATATTTAGTGTATTACTTGTGGCCAATAGATTATTAATTGAACTGCATATTCTGTTTATTTGCAGCTGCTAATAGCACTGTCACTAAGGGTCAGATTTTGTCCTCTGGGTTTCTTGCATATACAGGAAAAAGTGAATGGAAGTATACTTTTAAGGCACTTTGTAATGGAATCAGTCTCTTACATTATTGGCTCACAAGCCACTAATGACTGTACTCCCATTAAGCTGAATATTATTTTGGTTGGTGACCCCATTGCTCCGGCCCAGTGTTTCTAATTTACTCCGCCTATATTTATGTGTGTGCATCCACTTAACACTCGGATTGTTTGTATCCCTCCTCTGCAGGATTTTGAATGGAATATGTTAAAGGACGCGAAAGGGCAGAAGACAAAGATAATCTCCTCTTTCGACTCTCGCTACTCCGACCAGACTTACAGCAAGCGCGTGGCGTCTGGCGACATTTCAGTGGTGCGTCTCCAAGACAACGAGGTGGAGCTGAAGATTGCTGAGGTGAAGTTGACGGATGCTGGCTTCTACGAGTGTCAAACACCGAGCACCGACTACGTCATCAGTGGAAATTATATGGCTCAGGTCCAACTCACAGGTATGAAAGTGTGTGTGCGTGCTCACGTGTGCCTTTGTGTGTCCGTGTGTGTGTATTTGCCAATTTTGTCCTTTCAGGATACAAAGCTTCTGATGCAGAGTAGCTGTGTTTTTACTTTGTGTTTGAGGCTATTTGGTTATGCTGGTCCATTTAACAGCTATCCCCCACAACTTACTAATGCTCTGCTGACCATGGATGTGTCCTCTTGCACATGAACACCCCTGCTGGTTTCAGACAATCACTGGCTTATAATTTGGTTTTCGCACAGACACGCGTACCTCGACACAGTGTCACACGCGTGGGGAGCAGATGTCAGGTGGGAATACTTGGCTTATGTCAAATGAGGACCAGGGAGGCACGGATTTGGATGAAGAATATCAAGGAGGAGAAATGTTTAGTTTCATGGTTTATTCTGCTTATAATGTTTGTAATAGCTGCTGTAATTGTCC